AGCACTCTACCCAGGGGGATAGCTTGAACCTCTGTCTCAAAAAAATAAAAAATAAAAAATAAATAAAATAAAATTTGGATACAGCTAACTACATTAAAGAATCCACAAAAATGGTGGGAATATACACAAACACAAGACCTTTTAGGTCACAGAAACCTGAGTTTTTCTTATTCAATGACCCACAATGCTAGCTATGCTGAAAAATCATCTATAAGGCTTAGAAAAAGCTGTACCACTGTCCAGGCTCCTCTCTCAGAGACTGAAGCCAGGGGCTGGTGGGACGGGCACACGGCATTTCTGAAGAGCTCCCCATTTAATTCTCATGTACCTCCAGGACAAAGACCACCAATCAGGCCCAGGTCCTTGGCTCTGCCCACACCTCTCTAACCCATCTCCTGAAACACCTCCCCTTAGTCCTGACCTCCCCTGACAGCCTGGACCAGGGCTGCTCAGACTAGCTCCCCATGGCGCCTCCTGGGGACTGTGTGGGTCTGCAGCTCTGTGCCCTGGGTAGGGCTTAGAGTAGGCACTTATATCCAGCTCACAGAACCCGGGCCCAGGTATGGTGCTGTCGGTGGGCAGACCACAGGCTGCGAGGCATAGAATGCAGCCCCAAATCCCACACTCCCCACCTCCCTGCCTTGCTTTCACGGGACTGTATACAAGCCACCTCCACAAAGGCTGTTTTTACTTGGTGCCCTCAGCACATGGCAGCACCTCTATTGGGACACAAACTTCAATGCACATTTTTTTCTTGTTTTTTTTGCAGTTTTTGGCCAGGGCTGGGTTTGAACCTGCCACCTCTAGCATATGGGGCCAGTGCCCTACTCCTTTGAACCACAGGTGCTGTCCACTTCATTGCACATTTTGTCAGAATGCACACACATGTCTCTGTCACCAAATAAACCCCTTGGGAATCCTGACTTCCCTTTCTCCATCTTGTCTGAAATACTGAGGACTTCACTAGGGGGAAGGAAAACGCGGCCTGATGAGTGTAAGCTCTGCCCACATGTACTGGCAGCACTCCTAGACCACTCCACGAGGAAATGTGTGATTGTAAAGTCCTTTCTAAGGACAGGTATTAGCAACACTAGCCACATACTAGTGCAGGATGGGAGATCAGGAGAGCTCGGAGAAATGGCAAAGAAACAGGATATTTACAGATCCAGCTCAGAGTCACAATGACCACTTTAGAATAAAAGACTCTCGACTACCTTCCACAAAACTAGATTTCAATTTATCAGTGCATAGAAGGTGCGAGAAATCCCTGAGACGCAGAATGACCCCTGCCTGCCCCTGCTATCAGTATCAGAGTACCTGCACATGGAGTCTCGTTTTTACAAACACACTGCTCAGGCTACTGCTGCCTTGATGAGGTTTTCAGAAAAGACTTAAAAATTCTAGTATCATCCCAAATCTTCTCGGACCAGGGTGAAGGTTTCTAAAGCCACCCTCCTGGCGTACAACCTCAGTCCCGGCAGGGCAGCGAACATACCTCAGAATGTCAGTGTACAGTAAATACAGAATCTCTCATTTTGTTTTATAAGGAGTGATACTGATAAGAGTCCACATGCAGGTAGACTCTCCCCAGACACCTGAGCAGATTTAGGGAAGGGGTAGGGGTGAGGTGAGGGGTTGGGGGGGCAGGCTGTGCTTTGCTGAGGAGACAGCAACAGAAGAACTGAGGCTGCGGCCTGAGACTGCACACGCTCTCGCTGCCCGCTGGGCACGGCCCTTTACTGGCGCAGCCCTTGATTTTCAGCTGGACGGGGACCCACAGAGCTGGGGGCATTCCTGAGTGCAGACTCACGGTCACGGACCTTGAGAAATGAGAGACTTAGTCCTGATGTATGAGCGGCCCCTCTTTACAGCTGCTTTGGTTTTTTCGAGCCCGTCCTTGGTTCCTTCCCTTGCAGCCTTCATGAGCTTTTGCATCTGTTAAGAAAAAAAGAAGGAAACACATGAGAAGTGGTGCAGATCAATAAAATGCTACTTTTAATTAATTCATTTTAAAAGAATACTGTCAAGTAGTCAGGGCTTGAAATACAACCTGAAATTGCCTTTTCAGTTTGGGAGTTTTCTTAGTTATTAGGGGGGTGTGTGTGTGTGTGTGTGTCTGTATATGGTTTGAAGCTATTTTTTGTTTGGTTTTGTTTATTGAAAAAAGGAAACAACAAACATTAAAAATAGAGCCCTTCCTTGACATGTTTAAAAACATTTCCTGCTATGTTTAAAAGTCAGTCTTCATTCTTCTTAAAATCACTTAACAAACAGAGAGAGCTTTGTAGAGGTCACAAATGGACATACTGAAGGGTACAGATGTCAAACAACTTGCCCCAAATTAACTAACTATAGACTCTCACAGTCCCAATTTAGCCTTTTAACATTTCCTCCAGGACCCTCCGTGGCTGTGTCCCAGTGGAGCTTCAGCCAGCTGCTCACGGGCCCCTTCATACCGGGATCATGTGGACCCAGCGCAAACAATGGGGCGGAAAGGCCAGGTCCAGTCTAGTGACTGATATACAGCGACAAATGAGCCCCCCCGCAGGGGGAACGGCCACAACCCTGCAAGGCCCCAGGGTTGGACATACCAGTGCGCGTGAGCTGGAGCTCTCTGGATCCTCTCTTAATGCTCACATGTGTCATAACGCTCTGGAGCTTCTGATCAACATGTGGGCATTTTGTTTCTAAGTATTTTTTCTTTTTAGAGACAGGGTCACTCTATGTTGCCCAGGCTGGACTCCAATTCCTGGGCTCAAGCACTCATCCCACCTCAGCCTCCCGAGTGAGGGGAACACAGGCAGTCGCCACCATGCCTGGCTCTGGCTTTTAATGTCTTATTCTTTAAAAACCTAACATCTGAGGCACTGGTTGCTGCTCACCGCACGAATCTTCTTTTAGAGAAAACCCAGATGACATGTTAAGAGACAAACCAATGTCCTTTTGCACCAACCCCCTCAGAGGGCACCTGCCTGAGTCCCCACAGTGGCCTGGCAGCCCTCTGCCCTCTGCGCTGGCCGTGGGTGCCCTGCTGACAGGAGGCCCAGCCCCAGCCCTGACCACATCTGCAAGGGCTTGATTTCCAAATGCTTAGAGCAGTGATTTTTCAACCGATGTGCTGTGAGAGGATCTTAGCGTGCCATGACAATTTTTAAAGATCACTAATTATTTTCAAAAGAAGCTCAAAGCACAGTAAGTAAATTCTTTCTTTTACTTTTTTCTTTTTTCTGATCAACATAATTTAAGTATGCCACAAAGGTTTAAATATGGGTTCAAGTGTGCTGTGAGATTAAAAAAAAAAAAAAAAAAGGTTGAAAAACACTGGCCTAGAGGCTCCACTCTACCCTCCACCCCATCCTCCTAAGGGTGACCCCTCCAGCCACCACTCAACACGACAGAAACACACCCCTGCCTGCCTGCCTGCCTGAGCCAGCACCAGACTCCACTGCCCATCTACCTTCTCTTACGGAGATGTTAAAATGTCAAAGGTGGGCTCCCAACTCACACATCCCTCAGCCCCAACAAAGGATGGCTCCCTGCAGCCCTATCCTGGCACCTCTCCCCCACGTCCCGGCTTCTGGCCACCACCTCATGGCCCTGCCCTTCATGCCCTGCCCCAGCGTCTCCTGCGGGCTTCACAGCAAGGCGCCTCAGCTAGTTCCTTCCTGACACCTGCTTCTTCCCACCCCAGACCTGTCCTGGTCTCCAGTCAGCCCCAGTCAGGTTCCCACCACACTCCCAATCCCCAGCCCCCTGCAAAGCAGCCAAAGACCCTGGGCTCTGGGAATTGAATTGCTTCCCAGAGTCATGTCTCAGCCAGGTCTCCTGTCACTAAATGATGAGAGTCCACTGGACCAGGCCACTTGCCTGTCGTGGCCTTCACTGCTGCCCACATCTACGTGTTTCTAAACAGTACCATCCACTGCCCGGCGCTGGCCCCCTCCCCTCCACTCCAGCTCTAAGGGGCCCTCATCCCTGGAAAGAAACCCAGGCTGCCTGCCACCCCACAGTCCTGCTGCCTGGGGTCCCGCAGGGAAGCCAGCCATGCATAAGGGGTACCACGATTCTAAGGCGTGGCCTCCAAGAGCCTGACCCCAGGCATTGTGCAGCAAACACACTGGTGGCCGTCCCAGCAGACATTTGTAAACTGACTTCCATTTCCAGGGGAGTGTCATTCAATGCTTATGAATAAATCACAGAATGTCAAAAGGACAAAAGATCAAATTGAAGCAAAAAGTACTTGACAGTGCTCTTTTAAAACACATCAAACAGGTGACCATCAGGATGTTTGAATCCAGCAGTTCTCAACCTTTTGAGTCCCAGGAGCCCTTTACACTCTTAAAAATAGTTGAGAATCCCAAATAGCTTTAGTTTATCAGGGTTTTATTTATCCATATTTACTATAGAAGTTAAAGTTGAGAAACAAATCTAATGTTTTTATAGCTCTTCATTTTAAAAAATAATAAATCTATTATATTATTATCCCATGGGCACAGCTGGACTCTGCACCCCATCAGCTGTGAGGCTATGCACCTTGTGGCCTCTGTGGGGCCCCCACTCACGTGTGAGAGGATGGGAGTGAAGAGGTTAACACCACCTCAGCGTCAACCTGACCCGCAAGGCCTCCTGGTGACAGCAGCAGCCCCTGGACCACACTTTGAGAACCACGGCTCTGGTAGCCATGAGCAACAGAGCCGCCTTGGTTTGTCTCCCTTTTTAAAGCACAGCCGGCTTTGAAGGCCACGCCGTCCCCGGGGCGCACAGGGTCAGCCACTCTACCTTCAGCTCGTGCTTCTGCCTCAGCTGCTGCACCTCCACGGCGCCCACTGTGCTGGCCACCAAGCCCCTCATCTTTCTCTCATAGTGCTCCTTTAGACGGCTTAGGTCATGGGACAGCTACAGCATAGAGAGACACAATCTTTTCACAAAAGGCTCTTTTTGGAACTTTGAGATAATCTTACATTGAAAGGACCTCAGCAGCAGCAGCTCAGGGCATTTGCACGCAAGCTTCTCTGGGGACGGGGTCCCAGGACCACATATGTTGCGTGAGAGCCCCAGTGACCAGCCCAGCTGATGCTTGGGAGATAAACACATCATCAAAAAGATGGATGCTATTTCAGATGAGCCAGACTGGAGACTTTTCCATGCCAAATACAAATAGATAAATGCAAAATTAAAATTTTACGTAAAATTTTTCATTTATATTTTGATGGATTATCAAATATATAGAATGCACAAAAAACTATTCTTTTATGTCAGCACCCAAGCAATAGATACTTGTATCCAAAAGTGTGCTGAGGGGTGACAAATTTTCGATATGGCCAGCACAGAGTCCTAGCAGTCTCCAAACTGATGGGGACAGGAGGATCCTCCTCCGTGTGGCCACAGAACCTCAAGTATGTGCTGCTGGCCCCACAGGTGGCTTCTGATAAAAATTTGAGACTGTTTTTGAGATGCCTTTTATAGCTTTATTTTGATAGTTTTTAAAATATGACTGTTCACACTTGAAAGCCTGGCTGTCCTTGTGGCACTGCCGCCGTGAACAGGCCTAACCCTCTCATGTGGCACCCTGTCTGCACCTGCCCCTCACCCTATCCCCATTCCAGGACACTGTTCTAGAGACAGGGGAATGCAGGAGGCAGAGGGAGAGGCCCTGGTGCTGCTGTTCTACGTTTACAAACCAAGTTTGTGCTTTCATTTGTCTCTTGTCCTGGCAGGGAAAGGCTGCTGAACCGTGGCCATCCCTAAGCAGTTCAGGGGCCTGGTCTGGGAGCTCGGGTCCAGGCTGAGGGCAAGGAGAGAGGACTTTCCTAACAGTGCTGGTGGACTCACCAGTGGTCCACACCTGACCCAGCCCTGTTTGTCCGTGGTACACCACGAAGGCAAAATTCGAGAGTGTCCCAGGCACAGACTGGACGCCCCACCTGCCAAAAGCTGAGTCCAACAGTCTATAAATCGCATTTAATCACAGGTTTCTGACTTGGCTGTATATGATAAATACCATCTTAGCCACAAAAAGCTACAATCACAGCTTCATTTGTTGTTTACATCTCAGCTCTAATAATTCTGGTGACACTTCCTGAACAAAGCTTGTTGATGACACTGGGTAAAAGCAAACTGGCGGATTCTCCCTGAGTTTTGTGAAAATAAGCTCACAGAGTATGGATAATCTCAGCTGCCCATAATAACTTGTAGACCGCAGGGATCGGGCAGCTCTCTCTAGGATTGTAGTCTCTGGTTATCAGGGGCTGTGCGGGTCATCACCAATGGTGCTGTGGTGAGGCCTCAGGTCAGTCTGTGTCCGACCAGCCCTGGATGTGGACTGCACGTGGCCTGCATCTGCATCTCACACAGAAAGTGCATGAAGCACGCTGACATCACTGTGGACCAGCACAAACCGACACTTTACAAACAGCCAAAGAAAACGCCAACAAAACACGAAGGCCGCACAGCGCAGCCAGGCACCACCGGAGCCTGGAAACCGCAACTGGAGATTCCCCTTGACAAGCCCCAACTCTAGGATTCGCTCCGAAATTTCTCCCTGGACTTGATCTAAAGACTTTTCCACAAATAAAAAAATAATTAAAATTTCGTCTAAGAAGGGCTCGTGCTGGAGCAGCTTAGAAGCTCTTGGCCTTTCACATCATTGCTTAGCGTCTATGTCTGTCCCATCTTTCTGCTCACAGTGACAAGCACAGGGCGGCTGTGTAAAGTCTCTGTCGTCTGTTCAGTGCGCCCAGCACGATGCACAAAGTGCAAAACACAGAGCACAAACAATTCAGAGAACAACTGTTCACTTTCTTAAAGTCTTCAAGTAGCAAGCTTGCCCAAGACCTTGTAAGTGACTTAAAAGTTCATAAAAGTCTGATTCCCCAAATCCCTCGCTGAATGAAATGACAGACTCCTTCTCCTTTGCCAACATCTTATGCTCCCCCCAAACTACACGACGGCTTCTTAACAAACAGCTGTTTAATGGAAATGTGAACTGCAATCCTATTTCACAGCCCTGCCCACGTGCTCACACACTGCTGCGTGCAGACTGGACACGTACCTGCTTTTTGTGACTGCTGCGCAGGAAGGACCTGGGAACCCCATTCCTGCACTCGGAGTCACTCTGCTCTTCGTAACTTTCAAATTCACTTGAACTCCACCCATATTCCAGGGAGCTGTTTCCGCCTTCTTCTCCGTTCTCAACATCATCATAAATCATTTCATCTGGATGCACAAATTCCAATATGAAGTTAAAATAAAGATTTAGAATTCACTACTGTTTTGTGCTTGTTTGTTGTTTGACCAAATCGCCTTGACTGGGGAGTTAGGACAAAGCAGAACGATCTGGAAGGGCAGCACGGTGCCCCACCTGTGCCCTGGAAAGGCAGCACCCACGGTGGGGACCACAGGAGCGGAGGAAAGCTCTGCAGGGGATTCTGCAGCCTGAGGACCACTGGTCATGAGACTCCACTGCCAAGGTCAAATCATTTGTCGGCCAGAGAGAACTCTCCACAAAGGAAAATCTTGCTTTATATAAATGTATGAATTATAAAACATTAGACAGATGATTGACAGATAGAAGACAGGCAGGTAGGTAGAGAGAGGACTGATCAATGACAGAGAGATGTAGAGACAGAGGGACGAACTTTACACATATTCAAGCACAGCACATGTAAAACTCACTTTGAACAATTGTAAATTTTTCTTTTGTGCTGAAAGTGGTCTAAGAAAACTTACAAATAATCTACCACTGTATTTAAGTGACTTCACCACACCAGTAATTTCAGAATTAGTGAAGAACACATCAAGTTCATGCCTTCAAATACAACAACAAGGGATCTGTATTTTGAAGTGCCGAGGGCCAGGTGCTCATCTGTCACACCACAATCCACATTCTGCAAAAGTGAGTAACTGAGCTGTGCTCCCTTGCAGGCAACCCTGCCCTGCCACGACAACACAGACCCAATACCACAGGCCGGTGCCTCCTTCAAACAGACGCGAGGGTCTCGAATGCAAGAGAAGCGACTCTGACTGACATGAACACGCACAGTGGAGCTAGGAAACACACATGGATTTTCTATTTCCAATGCTGTATTGCTAACAAGACTTTTAGAGAATAAAAATGGCATTCTACAAACTACCAGAATATCAGTGTCTAATTTCTGTTACTCAATCACACAAGCATACAGGTTTACTTTACCTAAAGTTCCTCAGATATAAGCGACCTCTTAAGAGTAACTTCTTTTTTAAATGATCATTTATGGATAACACAAGTTATGTGGAAGACAGCATTTCATGACTTAAAAATATTAATTTTATTACTTAGGCATCCACAATTATTCACTGAAATAAAACCCGGGCTTAAACATCCCAAGTAATTAAGCACTAATAAATACATTCTTTAGGACAAAGAGTGAGCTTAGTCTATATACAATGATATTCAAAAACAAACATTTGCTCTTATTGGAAATGAGAAATCAGATGTGACTTTGGAACCATGAAAATCCCTAGATTTTAAAATTAAATCAGTCTTCTAGTATTTCTCTGCTGAAAACAAAACAGACTCTTCACCTTCCTAATTAAAAGCTCTGAGGAGTAAATGTCCTCCCAGCAAAACCATGAAGGGTGTGAAAACGAGCTCACTTTCTAGATGGGCAGTGGCACCCCTCAGCGTGCCGCAGACAGGGACCACCAGCTGGGCACGCAGCAAAGTCACCAGCTCAGCTCAGTGTGAGGGTCCTGGCCTGCCAGCCTCCCATGTGGGGCTGCCTTGTCACTCTAACTAGAAGGCACCTCCGAGACCTAGTGTATAACTTCATGCAAAATATACCAATCATGAAACTTTTTAAACACACCAAAAAGCACAAATAACAGACATTGGCCTAAAATCCCAATGTTTTGCCCTAATTGTTTGTAATGCTTTCCCAATAAGGCAGAAATAAAATTTTATGCACATGGAGCTAAAGCCGCAGGTCAGTGTGTGCAGGCCTGACCCTCAGGTGCAGCTCTAAACAGAACCCGCAGCAGCAGCCACCGCCTTCCTCTGGATTTTTTGCTGGGTGCTGGTTGTGAATTGCTGCATGCCCATGTGCAGCCCACACACGTATTCACGTCAAGGCTATCTAACTACCCTCTGTTGATCCCCACCTACCGGGGCTGCTGGCCCTCCCAGCTCTCACTAAATACAAGGCCACCATAGAGGGGCACCCCGCCCACAGGCTCTGGCACAGGGGGTGTTTCTCCGGGAGAGGCACTTACTCTGGGCCACAGCTCACACTACCGCGGACTGAACATGTGTCCCCAGGGTTCACGTGCTGAAACTCTCACCCCCACAGGGACAGTGTGAAGAGGTGACTGGTCTGGAGGGAAGAGTCTCGTGCACGGACTAGGGCACTCATGAGACATCTCAAGAGCTGGTTCACACCTCCTGCCACCCCAGGAGGACACTGTGACAAAACGGTCACCAAGAACCAGGGTCTGCCAGGGCCTTGACCTCAGCGACTTCAGCCTCCACAGCTGTGAGAAGCGTGTGTGTGCTGCATGTGGGACCCTGTCACAGCAGCCTAGACAGACTTAAGAGACCAAGTTCACTTCAGCCAGGGAGGACTAGGTGTTCAAGACTGCCAGTGAGATGCTCCGGTGCAGGGAGAGCTCTCACACTGGTGGGCCATCGTGAGGATCAGACACTCTGCGTCCCCAGCCAAGAATGTGTAGTGGCTGACCAGAGGGCACGGTCAGGGAACCTCAGAAAAGGCACATATGAAGACGTTTGGCTCTGTGGCCACAGAAGTCCTGGGAACACTTGTGGGGTCCTTGAGCCTATTCTCCTTGTCCCAAGGTGGGGAAGGGGACGGTACTCCTTCACTGGAGGCTCAGTGGCCCTTGGCTGTGCCCGTCCAAGGGGATACTGGCCTAGGCAGGGCTGCTGGCACTGTGGACCTAGCTGTGGACCTTCTCGGCATGTTGGTTTCTGAGATTCCAAGTCGCATCTTCCGTGAGGGAAGGCCTACCCGGCAGGACAAATGACCCAGCACCACATTTCAGACTTATTTTTACATGGGCTAGCCTTTAGTCCTCTCTTTATTTGCAGTATATATTTAAATAACTACCTATGAGCATATTTATGGATAAGCACCTAGGAATTTTGTTTATAAATATGCCCCCATGTACCTCTGCCCCCAGCGTAAGACTCGTGAGGGCAGAGACTGTGCTGTCTGGCTGAGCCAGGACAGAGCTCTGTGTGTTAACAGCCCATGAAGCCAGTGTGGAATGAACATGGATGTCAACGATTTGAGCTCTCCACCAGTAAGTAAGTTTACTATAGATTTTAAGAACGGGTCCTTCTGTTATGTGTTTTTAATACCAAATCTTATCAAGTGCTTATTAAGCTTATATTGAGTAAGCATATGATTCATGTCCATTAATTTGGAGAAATCACCTTGAAAGAGCCTCCCAGAGCTCAGGGACTCCCGAGACAAGGGAAGGGGATAACATGGGCTTCTGCTTTGTGTCGAGACACTGCTGGCCTTGACTACCTGACACCCGGAGGCCCATTTCAGCACGGTCCCTTTGAGGGAGGGGCTTACAAGTTTATGCTCCCATCATGGAGTGGGTTAGAGGGCACGCTCTCTTCTGTTCTTCAGTGGGATAGTGTGGAACTGAGGAGTGTCTGTTCCCTGAAGGCTTGGTAAAGCCCAGGCTCAAACCGTCCAACTCTTGTGCACATTATCTCAGCAGCTGATTCAGTATCTTGAGTCATTAAAGATTATAGTTCTCTATTTGGGGTACAATTAATTTTTCAAGGAAATATTAAATTTCTTTTTTTTTTAAGACAGAGCCTCAAGCTATCCCCCTGGGTAGAGTGCCGTGCCTTCACAGCTCACAGCAACCAACTCCTGGGCTCAAGCGATTCTCCTGCCTCAGCCTCCCAAGTAGCTGGGACCACAGGTGCCCGCCACAAAGCCCGGCTATTTTTTGGTTGTAGCCGTCATTGTTGTTTGGCGGGCCCGGGCTGGATTCAAACCCGCCACCTTAGGTGTATGTGGTTGGCGCCTTAGCCGCTTGAGCCACAGGTGACAAGCCGAAATATTAAATTTCATCTCTGGGGCTGCGCCTGTGGCTCAAGGAATAGGGCTCCCGCCCCATATGCTGGGGGTGGCGGCTTCAAGCCCAGCCCAGCCAAAACTGCAAAAAAAAAAATAAATAAATAAATTTCATCTCAATGTTTTAAGTTCATTGACATAAAGTTATTTATAGAAGCCTCTTAAGGTTTTTGCAAATTCCTGCTGCAGTCACAGCCCCTTGGATCAATTTTTTCCTCCCTGCCTTCCTTTCTCCCTCCCTCTTTCTCTCTCTTTGTAATATTTCCAGCGACGTGTCTATTTCTGCCTTCTTTCCAAAGAGCCACATACTGTTCCTTGGTTTGGTTTTATCATTCCCGACTTTATCATTTCTTTCCTTCCACTCCCTTTGAATTTACTCCGCTGTTCTTTTATGTAGCTAAGTGGAATGCCAAGTTCCTTATTTTTCAATCTTTTTTAACATACACCATTATGTCTATAGTCATTATTTCAAATCTATCCTGTACATTTTCATTACTGTTCAAGTCAAAACTTTAATTTCCATTCTGTTTTCCTCTTTGACCATGAGTCATATACTAGTGTGACTTTAAATTCCAAAATATTTTTGGTTTTTACTGATTTTATTCAATTGTAATTAGAAATGAGGTCTGAAAACCAATTCTTTGGCATTTGTCGATATTTTCTTGAGGCCTGTGTTATAATTAATTTTTCAAAATAGTCCATGTGTGGGAAAAAATGCATATTCTGGAATTACTTGCTTCCAGGATCTACACATGACCTTTCAGCCAATCATACCATCGTATTGTTCTAATCTTCTGTAGTTTACTAATTTCAAGTCCACCAATGCCAGAAACAGGATTCTTAAAAATCTCCCACTCTAATCAAGTATTTATATTTTTCTGATTATACCTTTGCTATTTTTTAAAATATATATCTTAAGGCTATTCTGTTGGGTCTATACACATTCAAAATTGTTATATATCTTCCTTGTTAATTAGCCCTTGCCCTATGGCTTAATGTTGAATATATTTTTATAGTGATATTGGCAATATTTTGATTAGAATTGTCATTACATTTCTTTTTGTATCCACTTACTTATAAATTTCCCGTGCCCTTGTGTATCTCTCATAATAGCTTATGACTTTGCTGTTTTATCCAGTCTGGCGGTTTCTTTTACTGACAATTAGATCCAATTTATATTCACTACAAGCACCAGTATATTTGGACTTGTGCAATCTTTTTTCTTACAACTTGAAAAACGTTTTATTTTGTTTTTTTTTTATGTTTTCTTGCTTGCTCTAGATTGGGTTTTGCTTTACTGGCTTGAAAGTTAAATAATCTATTTCTGCTCTCTTAGCAGTTACCCATAAAATGTAGCTTGACTCACTATAGGAAAAAAAAAATCAGTATCTATACCCTCCTCCTGAAACACAGACTTCAGCTCAGCTGGGATGAACAACTGGCCTGCTCAGGGGCCAGCGCCTGGAGCCACACCCCTTCCCATGAATGAGTCCTGCCCTCAGTGCTGCCTTAACCTACACCTGGGGACATCCTCCCACATTGGTCACTCGGCTCTCCAACCGGTTCCACCGCCCCACGTCCTTCCAGGCTCAGCATCTTTCCCTGGATGTACAAGGCAAGACTTCCTCAGGGTCTGTGAGGGTAAATCTCCCCAGCCCTGTCTGCTGCTGCCTCTCCCTCTCTCTAAAGACTGAACGCTGGCCGCGGGCAGAAGCCCAGGCTGCCGCGGTGCTGTCCTCAGCATGGAGCACTCGGTCCCCAGGCCCTGTCCTGACCACATCTCTTCGTGGTGATCACATTTGTCCCTTGTTGCTGTGAAAGGTTTGCTGTGGACTTGGAGCTCTGTACCTTCCACTGTACTTGCCTAGGTCTGGGCTGACGCAGAGTCAAACCTGCTTTCACTCTATATTTCTGAAAATTCTCAATACCTCTTTATTGGAATATGACCTTTCCTGATTCTCTGCTTTCTCCTTCATATCACTTACAACATATACGTCGTTTGCTCCTGTCTTCCACATCTTCATCCTTCCTGCTTCCTTGGGGTAATTCAGACAACCACCAACATCAGGCATTGTAATATAAACACACACACGTGCACTGATGTTCTAGGACGAACCAACAAGCCGTATGAAACACAGACAGAGAGGACACGGAGGTTGTGCATCTAAGGATTATGTGCACACTGGACAGGCCTTTCTGCATCCAGAGACAAAGACCACTAAGCTGAAGCTCCTGAAATTCAATTCCAGACAAAATCAAACCTGGTTCAGAGTCTGAATTTTCCCTTGGAACATCATCATAAATGGCTTCTTCAGGATCTGGAATAAAAAGGGATGAAAACATTAAACACAGATCATTAAAAATGGAGCACAGGGGGGTTTTGGTTTGTTTTCTAAAAACAGAGTCTCACTCTGTCACCCTGGGTAAAAAGTGTGGTGGGTCACAGTTCACAGCAACCTCACTCTTGGGCTCAAGTGATCCACTCGACTCCCAAGGAGCTGGGACTACAGGTGCCCATTACAATGCTTGGCTTTTTTTTTTACAGGTGGAGTCTTGCTTTTGCTCAGGTTGGTCTCAAACTCCTGAGCTCAAGCAATCCACCTGCTCCAGCCTCCCAGAGTGCTGGGATGACAGACGTGAGCCACTGCGCCCGGCCTGGAGCACAGGTTTAATTAGATAGGACTATAGACTCCAGGATCTTACAATTATCCAGAGTTAGTTTATAAGGGCAGCGAATGGTCCTTTACCCAAACATAAGCAAAGCAGAATATTTTTTTCGTAATGAAGGACATAGCTCTAAAAGGACAGTAAAGTATCACTAATAAGGACTTCAAGTGTCCAGGTCAATTTTTGTGATTTTGTGTTCAATCACACATTTCTATGTGGCTTTTTCATAAACATTGTTAAGTTTATGAGATTAATGCATTCTGATATACAAAAAAAAAATAGGTTTAATCTATTCAGGCCTTAAAAAAAAAAAAAACCGAAATGGTGTACAGCGTTTCAGAAATAGCTCAGTGGAGCCCTGTGAGATGGGAAACCCCCGGGATAAACCAACCTCTCTGTAATGTTTCCTACCACCGAAGGCTGCGAGTAGCCAAATACAAAGCGAAAGCTGTTAAAAATATAGAAAATGTTTCTGAAATTCCATTATGTGGAACATAAGTGTTCTCTGAAATTGTAATTCTTTAAAAGGGAAAGAGCAGGGGTTCCACAAGCAAAACAATAATTCCGAGGATGACCACCTGGGAAACTTGGAGTTCCTATGATATTTCTAAGAGTTACATGCTTTTTATGTAAACTCATCTCATAAGCAACCTTTGTTAAACAAAGCTTCCAAAATATTCACTTATTAATGTGACAAAGTACAATACAAGGTATTACTGTGCTGAAAACTATAAAGGTAACCACTTACTAAGCAATATCAGAAAAACCTTAAATAAAACAACTTTTCCCTGACACCCAGCCACAGTACTATCACCGCATTGAGGGGGAGGTGCAGATCCAGCAAGATCTCCTCTGTTGTAGCCGTCACAGCCCGATGTTATAGACGCTTTCTCTTAATAACATTCATTAACTGCAGCCAGTCATTTCTACTCCTGGTCAATGACAATGAGGGACTGCTAGTTTAGAGAGCTGACTTTTCAGTATAGTTAGTTATACTAATTAACTGTCATGTGGGCAATAAAAATGAGTACTGAGAGAAATTTGCACAAATTCTACTTTGGAAAGAAAACTGCTAGCAAACAGCAAGATCATAATTTAATCGCCCTCCACCCCCAGCAGGATCATCCAGTTGTACTAAGATCTCAGCTTTGACAAAGTCATAATTAAAACCAGAATGAAACTTCCAGGAACTGACTGAATAATTAAGAGGTAACAAAGATGGTTCTTTCTACCTTGTAAGTCAATCATATAAAACAACCACATAGAAATTAGTGACCAATCGATAGTAAAAGGCACAATTAGGAAAGTAATCTTTCCTTTTCCTTTAAAAATTAAAAAACAAGTGAATCTAGCTAAGAGTATTTCAGGCTTAGAAACCACAGGTGGAACAGAAGACACGTCCCCTTCTGAGGGTGGCTGGCTCAACCCACTGACACTGCAGACACCTCCCAGGACCTGCATATCGGGGTACAATGGCCAGATGCAGCTCCAAAGTGCTAGAGAGTGACAACCGGGAAGGGAGACACACTTGGATGGGAAGCAGCGCAGCTTTAGAGCAGCCTCAAAATGTTCACGTGCTCAGCTTTTCTTAATACTGGATGTAAAGGAACGCGTGTAAAGTTTTGGATCTGATCTGGGACACAAGGACAGTGAACATCGCCCCCTGTTGGCGGTGGCAGGACTTACTCTCCATCCAGGCTGTGTTGGCAGGATCCGCGACCCAGCGGGCCAGGGCGCTGTCTTCTTTATTGACTTGATCTTCACTTAAAGAAAACAGACCGGACGTCAGAACACTGAACATTCCCTTCATGAGGCAGCTGAGAGAGTGTGTGTGTGTGTGTGTGCGCCACCGTGGGGGGTGGTGGTGGAATTACACACTTTCCCAGACGGTACTATAGGACCACCTCAGCTCAGATTTCCTCTCCTAACTCCACCAGTCAGTGCTCACAAATGCTCACCACATGCACAGCACAGGGTATGGGACTCTGGGGATATAGTGGAAATATAGTCCCTCCTCCAAAAGGCAGAACTGTCCTCTCCGAGGGCCTCTCATGTGGTACCTGATGCTGGATGGAGACCTCCCTCCCCGCCCCAGGCAAGCAAGAGCCCTTGCCAACCCCAAACACAGGTTAGTGGGAGAAAGAGACTAAGAGGCCATGGAAGACGGGGATTTCATCCCATGGGCACCCGGAAGCCACAGGAACACTCTATTCAGGAGTGACAGGACCAGAGTCATCACACAAATTGAGTGTCATTGACCCAGGGGAGGCACAGACACTGACAGAGGGCCCACAGCCGTGGTCAGCCCTCACCACGCTGTCATCCTGCTGGGAGCATCGTGCAAGGTAAACCAAGCAGCCCCCTGGAAACATCAGCTGAAAGGCAGGGACAGGGCTTGGTGACCACCCAGAAATACACACAGAACACTCTGGAAAACTCACGTAGGGGAGAAAAGTCATTAACATCTAATTACATGACAAGACATAAAGTGTGTCACCTCCCGCACTACGCAGTATGTCACAAGTTCTAAGGGGCCCTCAAGTATCTGAGGGATTTCCAGGCTGCAGACGCTGGAGGGCGGGCTCCCCTCACTGCGTGAGGGACAGTGTAGAGGGGAGGGTGTGGCCCTCCAGCAAGGTCAGTGAATTTGCCATGGAGAGAAAGGCCTGTCCTTGCAGTCTTTACATTTCAATTATACCTCCTGGGGCAGCACACGTTTATGAGAGACTTTACCTAACAAATGCAAGCAGTACAACCTGGTTCTTTGTACCCTCAACAATTCCCCAACAATAAAAAATAAATAAATAAATTATACCAAAACAGAAAGTTGCTGCTCCCAACAATGGTACAGGAAAGAAAAAAGAAATATGAATGGAATTAATTAATATGAATATAAATTATCCCTGAACGAGTCTATATGCTTAAAGTATTTCTTATTTTTAAAATCACTGAGGTTATTCTCACACTACATTTTACATCCCTTTTCCTCAAACCCATTCACCCTTCCGATGGACATCTTTTTCACAGTAGGTTTCAGACTGCCAGTGGTAAAAGGCCACCACTAATTTTTAATACTATACATAAAAACTGTAATTTCTTATAAAAGGTCCTGGCTGGATCAGTTTTCTGACACGATCCTGTATTTAAGGAAGGAAACTCCTTATTAAAGCAGAACTGCTCCCAGGTCCCCCTGCGTGCCTTTTAAAAGACTTCACACAGGGACACAGGGATTCTTCACAGGCTGGCCCAGCTGACCAAAACTGACAGTGTAGGATTCAGGACATGTCTGGCCATTGCAACTTGACACCTGAAATAAACTCAATTCTGCCCTGACTCTGCACTCCAGCACTGTCCCTGCATGCCCTAGGGACACCCAGGGGCCAAGGTGAGCCGGCAACTATGGGCCTGAGGCACCTCCGAGGTGAGAGACGCTCCCACTCAGAGACCTCAGGAGGAGATCGCCCGATGTCCAGCAGGCAGGGAGTACTTGGAAGCACTATGTTGACATCGCAGGACAAAAGCATGAGTCAGAACATAGAATTAATGAAGTTACCTGTTTGCAGGGTCCTCAGAGCTTAAAGAATTAAACTGGTGATCTTCTGTGACTTCCAGTGTCTCTGCTAAGGAAACGGAGAAATTGAAGCTGTTTTATACAGGACAAAAATGCTTATGATGCTGATTTTTTTTTAAGAGATAGGATCTCACTTTGTGACCTAAGCTGGAGTAGAGGACATGATCAACCATAGCTCACGGCAACATCAAACTCCAAGGGTCAAGCAACCCTCTGGCCTCAGCCTCAAGTAGCTGAGGCTACTACTGGCATATGCCACCACACTCAGCTAACTTTTCTATTTTTTGTAGAAATCGGGTCTCACTATGTTGTCCAAGATGATCTCAAACTCCTGAGCTCAAGTGATCATCCAGTCCTAGCCTCCCAAAGTGCTGGGACTATAGGTATGAGCCACCACACCTGGCCTAAAGTTGATTTTTTTCTTTGAAATGACTTCACATTTCCATTTCTTATCAACAATAGGCTGATCTGTCTAGAGAGATGATTGATAAATTTAGAAATTTTTAGCTTTTTGATAAAATGGATGAGGCCTGACAATTAAGTTTGCAAACTTGTTACTATGCACTTATGTTGATAGCACTGAACAAACAGCTCAGTAGTTCCAGAGCCCTGAGATACCAGTGTCGCAGAGTTGTGTTTGTGTGGACGTGTGGAGGTGTCTTGCTCAGTGGCATTCATTATTATTGCTGCTGTCACCAGCCACCCCACCAGGAAATCCCTCCATGAAATGAGATGTGTGTCGCACTGGGTGTCTTCCACGTGGAGAGGTGGGGGAAGGGGAGCGGGACCCAGAAGCTCCACCCAGACAGACTTAGGCCTCATCTCATTGCTGTAGGAGTACCCCGGGTGCTGGGGGGCCCCAAGGATAAACCAGGCAGCACCTGTCTCAACACGCAGGTTTGGGTCAGTAGGTAAAATACTAGGATCTGAGTCCCTCTGCGTGGCCAGGCTTGAGCTCCAGGCAGGGCCCTGTAACCTTCCACTGCCAGGCAAGGAAGGGCCTGTGCTGGGAGATGCCCAGGGCAGCCCAGACCATGCACAGGAGCTGGGAAGCCTGGGGGCTGTGGAGGCAGGAAGTTTAGGCCCGGCTCACCCTGGGCCCGGCGCCAGAATCCATGCCTTTCCCACCACTGTGGCAAAGAGGTCTGTGTGCTTGTGTCACCGAAGGATCAGAGGACAAACACAGGGTCACTTGTGCCTCCATTCTGGGGCTCACAATAGTCTTTATTATGGCAGGGTTTATAACAGGGTTTTATTGCTGGCTCTAGGTTGACAATACAAAAATAAGGAAATTGTTTTAAAATCATGCTAAATAATTCTAAAAATTATTTTAAATTATACTTGGTCATTTAAAACAACCAAGGAATTTAAAAATAAGCAAATTACTTTACAATAAACACATCTTCCGTAAGCACAAATCCCCCACGATCAGCACTCGGGTTTGTCGCGAGGTTCTTACTTGTTATGCTTACAGAATAAGCACCGTGGAGCATGGTGAAGTCCCAGGATCACTGCCAACGTCAGTAGGAAAAAGGGTGGGGAAACCTCTATCCTAAAAACCCTCTGTCGTTTCCAAAATTCAAAATCAAGACTTTCTCTAAAGAAGACTCTACTGAAATTTCCACACGGTGTGAATTATGTTTCTCCACCTCAGAGGTTGTTTTATTTCTTGCCAAAAGAACATCTGGCAAATTGGGGAATTCCTACGGTGCATCCTGGGCAAACGACATGGAAATAATTTTGGTGAGAACAGGAAGCATTCGGTCAGGGTACCCTGATGGGGCCCATTCTGAGGTCCACTTTTGCAGAGGAGGGTGGGTTCTGCACTTGGCTGGCCCCTGTGCTACCCGGCCTGTGGCGGGTGCCCATAGGAGGCCCTAGCTGCAGGCACTCAACTCCCATCCCAAATAGGAAGCTCTGCAGAAACTACTGACCCTTGACAACAGGCCCACGGGTGCATAAGAACGGCAGAGAACGGGCTTTTACGATAAGCCGTCCCACAGCCCAGGTGGAGGTGGAAGCAGAGGCACCAAACCACGCCCTGCCATGGGGTCTCGGGGTGCAAGAGGGAGGGAGGCACCTACTTGGTCACCAGAGGGCTGGCTCGGCCTTTGACAGGGACACAGGAATGCTGTCCTCTTGCATTCTCTCTGCACCCTCCTCACTCACAATGTCCCCGGAGGGCACCTGCAGAGCTCACTGGACATCTACAAGACCCCTTCCCCACTGGACTCTCTCCTTCCTCCGAGTCCCCTTGACCCCAGAATGAAGACAGCTGGACAGACTTGACCTCAGGAGAGCCTGAATCTATAGTCAACAAATGACTTTAGAACATGCAGAAACACAGCCACCCTTTAGTGACAGGGGCGAGAAAATGCATGAGATTTGTTGTGCAGTGGCTGGCGCAGGAATTGTCACATCAGTCCTCCTTGACAAGAGGGCCGCTACATTTGGGATCATGTTATTTCAAGATTTTCAAATAATACACTCTGGCTCTTTTGTGTAATTGTGTTCCCATCACAGCATAAATTCAATTGGGGGCTTATTTTCCAACTTTGCAAATAAGCATCTAAAACTGGGGGAAAGAAGGAGCCGGGCCCAGATGCTAATGGAGCAGGAGCCACTGCAGGGGTGCCGGAAGGGGTGCAGTACCTTCCTCATCCAGCGATGTGGTGCGCACGATGACCGGGCTGGAGTAGGCGGGCAGCAGCAGGGGCAGGCTCGAGGGGACAGCATAGCCACAGGGCACAGGCACCGAGTACCCGCTGGGCACAAGCAGACCCACACCCTCCTCCTCTGCACCGCAGTCCGCGGTTGGTGGTGGATCTTCCTGGAACGGAGTGATGTCAATGACAGAATATGGGTTCACTTTCACTGGGGCCACGAGTTTGGGTGGTTCTGCCGCTGTGATGCTGTCTGCTCCACGTCCATCTTCCCCTCCTGGAGGACCCAAAAGGGACTTGTCAGCAAACACACCTCCAAAAGCACAGGGTATTTTCTCCTGGGCTCGGGTAAGAAGGAGGTGGGAAGGCCCAGCTTCCATTCACCTCAAGAACCCTCAGACACTTCAGGGCCACTGTGCAGATGGGCAGGACTTGCAGAGAGCTGGTACCTTGGGATGAGACACACCCACCAGGTTGTGCCTGAGACAGCCCCTCCAAGGTACAAAGGCTGTAGGAGCATCCCTGGCCACACCACAGGGCTTTGCCATGGACAAGGGGACACGGTGCTGGTCCAAGCAGCACATCTGGCCAGCGCCCAGCCCACGTCCTGGCTTAGAACTATAACCCTCTGCATTAATTCATCTCTGATGCTTTTAGCAATTTATATGTGTACATGTAGTGATACAGTGATGAGGCAATTTTTGTCAGAAAATAGCAACACTTTTTCTTTATAAAATATACATAGAAAGAACAACGAGTCTAAAAATTATGGAAAATAGGGGACACAGAAAAGAAATGCCACTAAACTCAAAAAAAGTCATTTCAGATACACCACAGAGCAATCACACATGGCCGGCTCCTAGAAATCGTCCTTTTCCTACAATTCCCCTATCGGGTAGTGAGAACAAGGAGAAAATCAGGAGCACCTGATGGACAATGCACAGGCCACAGGTGGCAACCTGGGACTTACCTGTGGGCAAGGACCCTTCACCGGCGGCCTCGAGGCCCTCGGGCGCAGAGGCGGCTTCTCTATCAGCTTCCGGGATTTCGTCTCCACTGTCGAAATCGAACTGTTCTCCCTCGTCCTCCTCGTTGTTGTTGGTATCACACTTCACTTCACTTTCTAACGTTTAAAGTAACGTACATGACAATGTTAACGTCCTTAAAGCAAAGACCAAGGAGGCAGACAAACGGCCAGAAATGCTAACTTGCTCTACCTTGAAGCTAGCCTTCTACTGGGAAAAATCTGCTTCACTAGAATCTTGTATCAGCGTTTATTTCCTTTCAATAGGATCTAACAACTCATAGTTGGAAAAGAAAATGAAAAGAAAGGAAGGAAAAAAAGGACTTTTCACATTTTAAATACATATACCATGGACTTACAAATTACAAAGGAAAAAACAAATCTTAAAAATGTATTAAGCCAATGAGCAAGAGGAGGAATGTTTAAACCCAGTGATAGGCATGCACGCGATTTGACCACATGGGCAGGACCTGCCCATCACTCCCTGCAGTGGGACCTGC